AAATCTGTTTTTAAATAACTATAGGATATTGAATCCAAACATAAAAAATTGAATCCATTATACTTATAATACTGGCATTCCGTGCTAAAATAGTCTATAAAAATCCTTTTCAGATTATTCTCGCATAAAGTCATTTTCAAAAACATTAAGGTGTGTTCACTTGGTGTTCTGGATATTAGCTGAGAATATATAGCATGCCTAGGAAAGTGATACAGTTCTGTTGTATGTAGCACAACATTAGAAGAGCTAAATAAAATAAAAGGGTTATATAATAGCAGGATAGTAGTTACTCATCACATGTGAACATAAACCTGAAAAACGTCTACAAGGAGACTGAATGTTCCTACTGTAACCTTCAAATACGTGAATGTCATAGAAAGAGGCATTTCTAAATATAACCGTAATAAAGACTAGTATCAGAACAGTCGAAGGATAATATATGTTAGCAGTTAGAGTATAGTGGATACTGGGAAAAACCCTCCTAGGGAAGACAGCAAAGGGTTAATACAGTAAATAAATTCAAGAATGTGCGGAATGTGCGTAAAGCTATTCAGAAAAACAAATAAATAAAATATTCATCAGATTTCATAAGGGTAGACTGGTTGGGCAAGGGGTAGGTTTTATCTAGCATCACAATCTAAAAAAATAATGGTAGGAAAAAAATACTAGAGCTTTTTAATTTAATTTTACTACTTATGTAATTGGTTTTATAAGATGCTAGAACATTAATGGATTACAATAAGTGTGGTCACAACGTGACTATTCTCTAAGATGGGCCATGGCAGGTTACATAGAGGGGTAAATGAAATGGATGATGTGACTGTGCCCCCAAAGTTCCAGACCCTATTCCACTTGCTTAGGTTGTCTTGTGGTTAACCTGGCTGTGGACCTGGAAAGCTAATTATTAGAATACATATGTACAAATTACTTGCAAAGCTAGGCATAATGGGTATTGCTGTTCTCCAAAGCCAAGAATCAACCTTTAGGCCACACTTGTTTTACAGGAACGACTCTTCCACAACATTTCTCACCATTGATAAACACAAGTGGAAGAAATAATTGCCTCCTTCCATAAACCCCTCTATTTATCTGTTTACATGACATTGAAATTCGAACATTTTTAGTTTTATTTATTGCTGGCATTTATAAAGTGGGGAAAAAGACAAACAAAATAAAAACAGACCGATACAATAGGTAGAGGACTAACATTCCTGTTCTAATGTAATGGAGCTAAAATGACAACACACTTCATTTAATTTGGCACCCATAATCTGGAAAACACTAACTATTACACACCGACTTGATTTCAGATACTGTCAAAACACATAGCTTGAAATGATCTAAAATAATTATTTATAGCCTCCATACATACAAGGTTTTATTACCAGCAGTAAAAATTAAGGAGCGTAAAGCAACACTTAAAGCACCATATCCACTGCAGCGCTCTGTAGTGGTTATGGTGCCATGAGTGCACCAGACCCCCGAATGTAAGCGGTCAAACAGTTTCTCAATGATTTGACTTTTTACGTGCGGTCCATTGGCTTCTACTCCCTGCCTACTGCATTCCATTATTGAGAGCATGAGGTTTCTACTAGGAGCTTCTGTTTCCCCTCCTGCGCAAAGGGCCAGCTCAATGGCTGAGAGCAACGGATCACGCTCAGCCAATGATTGAAGCCCAGCACACCAGACACCGCTCAGAGAGTGCTTCCAGCTCTCAGAGGCAGGGAGCGGTGCTTGGAGGATCCAGGTTATAAGTCAGACTGGCTCCAAGGGGAACAAAACAGCACTTTATTTAAAGGGACACTCCAGGCACCCAGACCACTTCTGCCCATTGTAGTGGTTTGGGTGCCAACTCCCACCACCCTTAACCCTGCAACTGTAATTATTTCAGTTTTCATAAACTGCAATAATTACCTTGCAGGGTTAAGTCCTCCCCTAGTGGCTGTCTGCTAGAGTGCCTGCTAGAGTGCACTTCCTGGTCCATAGCACAGGTTCTAGCATAGCTAAAATCCCCATTGGAAAGCAGTGAAAAACATTTTCAATGCTTTCCTATGGAGAGGTCTGATGCATTAGGTCTCCCCCGCCGGTTGACGTAATGAAGGGGAGGGGCAGCGGAAGAAGCAGCGACGTGGGACATGTCGCTGCCTCTGGTAAGTGACTGAAGGGTTTTCACCCCTTCAGCAACCGGGCATGGGAGGTGGGAGGGAGAGGGGACCTGCAGTGCCAGGAAAACAGATTGTTTTCCTGGCACTGGAGAGTCCCTTTAAAGTGGTTCTGCTATCAGAAATTGCATATATATATATATATATATATATATATACATATATATATATATACATATAGATAGATACATATATATTTATACATATAGATAGATAGAGAGAGAGAGAGAGAGAGAGAGATATTTATAACTAAACTTTCCTTTCCTTGACTCTAAAGAGCATTTTACTTTTATTTTACTACGGGTAGTTAGGTGCTACTCAATAAATTACAGATGTTGAATGGCAAAAATCTCTAATAAGCTATCTACAGTTTTTTTTCCGGTAATAACAGTTACGGATGGTTAGAGGTTAGAGTCGGGTTGTTATTCAAAGATATCCACCTCCACACTGAGATTCTTACTTGGGCAATATAATTGTAAATTGATACAATTAAAATGTTTTTGAGAAATCTCACCTTTAACACACATGTTGAAATTACCTTTGGCCATATTGCTTTCACCAAATTATTATTAAACAATCTCAGCTACACTGTAAACAGCCTGAAAGACCATGCCAAGACTAACACTTCAGCTAACTGTGTTTTTCCATATTTTTGTTTAGTACTTTAACATGTTTTGGTCAGTTTGACCTTTCTCAAGATGACCTGATGGCTTAAGGAAGTCCATGCCAATCAAAACATTGGATTTTTAGATTAAATAAACTACGAAAAAAAGACTACTTGCAGGCAAAATTTAGGGGGTTAGGGCAAAGCCCCTGCAGCTATTGGTTTATCACCTTCTATTGCAAAACTGTGGATTCGGTACTAGTGAAATACGAGCTTGATGCAGCCCTGGCCATAGATGATTTTTGTTTTCATCATCTACATTAATCTTTGAGGCAATGAGTCAATAAATGTTTTAAAACATCACTGAGCTCAGGGTTTTCTTGAGAGAACGGATCATAAGGTCAGTGTACATTCCTCCAATTTTTTTTTACAAACGGAAGCTCACTGTGCCATTCTGGCTTTAAACAGAAAGACAAGTAATAGTACAGTGACTTTGCCAAGTCTATTAGTTAAAGGACACTGTCATCAAATTTTCCACTTCTTGTTTTTTTTAAGTTTACTACTTTCAATGAAACCTAATGAGTCTATTTATTTTATTATTATTGGTATTTATATAGAGCCAAATTATTCTGCAGTGCTTTACACTAATATAAAGAGGGGATTAGACAACAATGAGACATACTATTACACATTTTGACAGGAATGAAAGGTTGATGAGGGCCCTGCTTGAATGGTCTTACAGTCTAGCCTCTGAGTAGGCAACCTTTGGCATTCCAAATGTTGTGGACTACATCTCCCATAACGCAATAATTCTGGCAAAGCATTAGGGGAGATGTACTCCACAGCATCAGAAATGCCAAAGGTTGCCTACCAATGCAGATGTTCTTTCCTTGTACCAGTAGTGTCTGACAGTTCAAAGCATACGTACCACCCTCATATGACCTGCTTCGGCGGGTTGCTCTAAATGGAACACCCACTTTACTCCGTATGCTTAAAGGACCGGCTGAATGCGCGCGCATTCAGCCGGTCTCATAGGAAAGCATTTACAATGCTTTGCTATGGACACTTGCATATTCTCACTGTGATTTTCACAGTATTTACAATGCTTTCCTATGGACACTTGCGTGTTCTCACTGTGATTTTCACAGTGAGAATCACGCAAGCGCCTCTAGCGGCTGTCAATGAGACAGCCACTAGAGGATTTGGAGGCTGGATTAACCCTATTATAAACATAGCAGTTTCTCAGAAACTGCTATGTTTATAAATAAAAGGGTTAATCCTAGAGGGACCTGGCACCCAGACCACTTCATTAAGCTGAAGTGGTCTGGGTGCCTAGAGTGGTCCTTTAACTTTTATTGTTCATATCCCTCCCTGCCCCTCCACATTTTTTCTCTTTCTCTCTTTGCCTTCCTCCTACCCCACCCCTCCCTGTCTAAATCCGTGGCTGGTATATGTTTAGAGGGGGACTGCAATTTAGACCAGTCCTTTCGTCTTTTAATTTAATTTCTACATTTTGATATTATACTAAACACTGAATACACCGCTCATTTGATTCGACCTTAAGAGGTCTTTTCCTGTTTGACATTATACAAATCACAATGTGGCTCCATCCAAAGTGAGCTATTCGATCTCTATAATAACTTTGCTGCCTTTGACACCGTTGATCATGCTCTCCTCCTTCAAACTCTTCAATCGCTCGGTCTCTGTGACTCTGTCCTCTCTTGGTTTTCCTCCTATCTCTCCCAACGCTCATTCAGTGTCTCCTTTTCCAAGGACACCTCCTCCCCTCGTCCTGTCTCGGTTGGAGTTCCCCAAGGGTCTGTCCTTGGTCCCCTTCTATTTTCTCTTTATACTGCCTCTCTTGGTAAACTTATTGCCTCTTTTGGATTCTGCTACCACCTGTACGCTGATGACACTCAGATATACCTCTCCTCCCCGGACCTCTCCCCTGCCGTCCTGCAACGTGTCACTGCTTGCCTTTCTTCCATCTCTGACTGGATGTCCTCACGCTTTCTGAAACTCAACCTCTCTAAAACTGAACTCCTTGTCTTTCCTCCTCCTAATACTGATCCTCCTCTCTCGCTCTCCCTTCAACTCAGTGATATCCACATAAGTCCATCCCTGCAAGCGCGCTGTCTTGGCGTCATACTTGACTCTGGTCTCACCTTTGAGTCTCACATCCAGTTTGTTGCCAAGTCCTGTAGGTTCCAACTCAAAAACATAGCCCGCATTCGCCCCTTTCTTACGCAAGATGCTACCAAGGAGCTTGTCAATGCTCTAGTAATTTCCTGCATTGATTACTGTAACCCTCTCCTGATTGGTCTCCCCAAAAGCCGTATTGCCCCACTACAGTCTGTAATGAATGCTGCAGCTAGACTGATTTTCCTCTCTAGTCGGTCCTCTCACACCTCACCCCTCTGCCGGTCCTTACATTGGCTCCCTGTATGCTATAGGAGTCAATTCAAAGTGCTAACCCACACATTTAAAGCACTGAACAATTCTAGCCCCACTTATATCTCTTCACTAATCCATAGATATGCCTCTCCTCGTACCCTCCGCTCTGCCCGTGACCACCTCCTGACCGCTGCTCGCACCCGTACGGCCAACTCGCGCTTGCAGGACCTCTCGCGGGCGGCTCCTCTCCTATGGAATAGCTTGCCTACTGCCATCAGACTCTCCCCTAGTCTTCAATCATTTAAGAACCCATCTCTTCAGGAAAGCTTATGGCCTCCCAGAGTAATCTCTACCTTACATACCTGTCTCCTGCTCTCTCCTATGGGACAGTGCTTTGCTCTCTCCTCCAGCTCTGCTTCACTCCTACTTGATATTCCATGTCCTAATGTTTCTAATACCCTACCTCCTATAGTCTGTAAGCTCGTTTGAGCAGGGTCCTCTTCAACCTATTGTTCCTGTAAGTTTTCTTGTAATTGTCCTATTTATTATTACATACCCCCATCTCAAAATATTGTAAAGCGCTACGGAATCTGTTGGCGCTATATAAATGGCAATAATAATAATAATATAACTTCAAACCTCTTAGGTATAATCTACATGGCTGGATCATACTGTAAATCAGACCTGCCTGTCTATTCTGACCTACAAAGAGATCTGCGAATCTCAACCTGCTTATTTGTTGGACTTCCGTATTCAGTACCTGCGTGTACCAAACTGTTCTCAATTATACGGTTACATTTTTGAAAAAACTAGTAAATAAACCAACTATTAAATAAACCGACATTTACAACAACAACAAAAAAGTATGTCATTTTTAAAATGATTTTTATGTGTTGCAATGCAAAATATTATTGTTATTATATTATTATTTATATAGCGCCAGCAATATCCATAGCGCTGTACAATGCGTGGACTAACACGTAAATGTAACCAGACAAATGGACGAACAGGAACAGAGGGGTTGAGGGCCCTGCTCAATGAGTTTACATTCTAGAGCAGTGATGGCAAACCTTTTTGAGCCAGAGTGCCCAAACCGCAATACATGCCAACTTTTTTTTCCTTAAAGTGCCAACACGGCAATTAAACCTCAATACTGAGGTTTAAGTTTAGAAAAAAAACAACTCGTACTGTTGTCCGAACTAATTAACAACTTTTGTTTTAAAAGAACACAACAACAGAGAGTTCAATTATACAAATTTTAAATAATGATATAAATAGATAAAATTAAGCTTATATTTATTAGTATTTCCAACAAATGTAATACATACACACA